TTTTTAAATATTTCAAAACAAAAACAAAATTAAAGAAAATAAAAATAATAATTATTTAGTAAAACCTCTAAAATTAATAAAAATAAATTAAAAAAAAAAACAAAAAAATTATACTAATAACATTTATATGCTTATATTATAAGTTTTCCTTTTTGAAACAACATTTTCAGAAAAATTTAGTAAAACACACACACAAATAAAAACTCCCCATTATGTGTAGATAAAAATTTAAATTGCTTAAATAATAAAGATTAAAAATTTCCCTGAAAAAAAAAAAACAACAAAATTAACGAAAAGTTTTTATTTTGCAATTGAATTACTGCTGATTGATTTATTTTTAAATTCAATTATTTTATTTAAACAAATTTTACCACTTTTTAGAGATTTGCGTTGGACTTAATTAGTGTTTTCTTTAAATTGTTATCCTTTCAATAGGGTAACACAAGTATTGATCTAGAAAACCATACGGACTGTTGTCCTCGTTTACGAAAACCCTGTGATGAGTAATTTGTACTATAGTATTGTCTGCAGTCCAGATTATAATATTGGCTGAACTATAGTTGTGTTTATAGTCAGGATTATAGTTTTGTCTATAGTTTGTATTATAGTCCTTTCAATGTTTCGCTTAAAAGAATGTACTATAATCTCGATTATATAGTCCTGTTTATAGTCTGAATATAGTGTTGTCTGTAGTATACACTGTCATATTGTCAGCACTAGTGTTGTCTGGTCTATAGTCTGGACACTAGTCCTATCTATAGTCTGGACTCTAGTCTGTAGTTTAATCCATAGTTCTATCAATTGTTCTGTCTATAGACTACTATAATCTTGATTGTAGTCATTTCTATAGCCCTGTTTATAATGTAGTTATAGTTCTGTCAAAAGTCAAGAATATAGTATTCTCTATGGTATAGTCAGACTACAGTCCTGTTTATAGTCTGGACTATAGTCCTGTTTATAGTCTGCACTATAGTCACTGCTATAGTCTGGACTAAAGTCCTTTCTGGACTATAGCACAGTCAATAGTCTGTCTGTAGTCTAGACTATAATCTGGATTATAGATCCGACCTAGTCTGGACTATAACCTCGTGTAAAGTATGGAATGGGGTCCTGTCTTGGTCTGGACTATGATCGTTTCTATATTATTTTGTCTATAGACGGCTATTTTTCTGCACTAAAAGCTTGTCTATTTGTCTGGCCTATGGCCTTAGGTTTGTTCTTATATCAAAACTTCAAATAACAAGGCTTTATTTCAAATTCAAATATTATTTCTATCTTTTGCAAATAAATAAATTTTCTTATTAAAATTGATTGCTCTTGCAAAATCCTTTTACCTTCGCTATTATTGTCATCGATTAAAACATATAATAAAAACAATAATAAATAAACAATATTTAATCAATATAAAAAGAATTAAGTAATAAATTATTATTACAAAACTACACATAATATTACACACCATCTACTTTACATACACTTACTTACATGCATACATATATATGAAATTTCATTAAATTACTATATTAATTAAACAAAATATTGAAAAAATAAAAAAAAAAACAATTACAATTCACAATAAAGAAAAATATTGAATAAAAAAAAAAAAAACGATATGTAAAATGATAATGAATCTTAATAATAAAAAAATGCTTTTGCAAAAAGTGTTTAAACATTTAAAGGGCATCTTTCAATGCAGACGTTTTCTTTACAAAATTCTTTAAATGTCTAATACGAAGATGTTATTGTTCTTAGTCAAGGGACTCTTATATAGACTAGTATATAGTGTAGTCTATAGTAAATTCTATAATCTAGTCTATAATATATAGCCTAGACTATATTCTAGTCCTTAGTTTACTCTATAGTTATGTATGTAATCTAGATTATAGTTTATTCTACGGTCTAGTCTTTGAAAATCTGAATTGAGAATGTACATATATCTTAATGATTTCAATACTAGTAATTCAGATATTAACAAAAATTATTAAATTTTTTAAAAACCATTTCGGTTAACGAAATTAGTCTACGCAATCACGTTTATAATATGGTAACACAAAAAAGTTGTTTTTAAAGTTGGTAACTCGACTATTTTAATTTAAAGAGTCCGGCAATATTGAGCAGAAACATATGTAAACAAACTTATTTCGCGCAATTCGGCTTAAAGCCGATAAGGCCGGTCCCATATTTGTATAATTTACAGAATACTTTGCTAAATTTATGGAATTTTCAATATTAAATTAATTTGTTTCATTAAGCAAGTTTTCTTTATCTAATAATGTGCCGCTCATTGAAATTTGGTCGACGTAAAACTTTGTTCAACGTTCGATGTATATGCTTAGTATTTACGTGCCCCCCTCGAGTTGCTGCTACAACGTCAAATAAGAAACTTTGTTGAGGCGTCGGTAGTGTCAACATGATTGCACCATTTTACATTGCTGGCTAGACATACCGTAAGGGACCAGGACATCAAACATGTGTATTTTAAATGGGAAGTACTGTTGACGACCTTTCTGCCGAATGTTGTGCCTCGATTTTATCTATAGTCTAGTCTATAGTCTAGCCTACAGTCTAGTCTATAGTATTGTCAATAGTCTAGTTTATAGTTTAGTCTATAGTCTAGGCTATAGTCTAAACTATAGTCTAAACTATAGTCTAGGCTATAGTCTAGTCTATAGTCCAGTCTACAGTATAGTCTATATATTGTCTAGTCCAACGGTTCCCAAATGGGGGTCCGCGGACCCCTATGTGGTCCGTAGTAAAATCCTAGGGGGTCCGCGAAGACGAACGAAAAAACCATGATTAAACAATATTCTGCTTTTATATGTATGTACAAATATCTCCAATTTTTGTGCAATAATCCCAAATTTTTTTGGTGACTTTTTGAATTTTATTTTTTCGGTTGTTTATCAGGAAGAAGCTAGGCCCTACAAATTTATTGTATAACTTTTATAAATTAAAGTATTGCGTGATTTGTAATTTTTATTTCCTGTATATGTACTGAAATAATGGTTTTTATTTCAGACAAAGAATACTCTGCCTTACAATTAAATTAGGGATACTGGTATTCCGGAGTATGAAGTTCAATTCAAAGACAAGCTTATTACAGATTTAAGTTTATCAAATTGTAAGCAAAAGTGTTCTTGTTTGAAAGGACTAAAATTATATATTTTCAAAACAGAGGTGACTCTTTATGCATCTCTTTATAAATATTCCAATCCGACGTGAAACACAGATTTTAACTTGATTTTGTCGACCAATACATATTATTAAATTAACATCAGAAAAATCCATAGCGTTTCGCGTAAATATGTAGCCAAAAACCATGAAGTAAAATAATTCGTTGGTATTTTAAAATTCAAATTTAAGTTCCAAATTCACAGTACTTTAACAAAGAGTTCAAATCATATATTATGCGGATAACGCATTCCGCAACAACATAGAAGAAGTCCAACTTTCTTATATTATTTTCCCAAAACTTAGCTCACTTACTCAGTTCACCCTTTGCAATCCCAACAAATTTTTGAAACGTGACTCCTTAAGCACATGTGACAATATTTGATAAAGAAACCTTTTCGCTATCTTGAAGAAAAATGAACATGAAAGATCTCACGATCATAAAATTAAACATCATGTTAACATATCAACAAAGAAGTCATTCTATCTTCAAAACATGCAATTGAAAACCTATCTGAAATATTATGTATTCTCAATGTACGGGAATATTTTATAGATATGACTACATTTATTAGACCTAGGAATTAATGAACTAGGTCAATTTTCGGATGGACAATTATTTAGAACAATAAGATATGAAAATATGTATGGGGGTCCGCGAAATTAAATAAGTTCTTCAAGGGGTCCGCGAAGTAAAAATCGGTGGGAACCGCTGGTCTAGTCTATAGCCTAGTCCTTAGTTTAGTCTATATTAAGGTATATAATCTAGTCTACAGGTTACTTTATTTTATAATTTGATTTTTATAGAAATATAAGCATTCAGAACATATGTATCCTTATGATTTTAATACTAGTAATTCGAATATTAACAAAATTTATTAAATTAAATTAAAACCATTCCAGTTATCGATAAAATTAATCTATGCAATCACGTTTCTAGTATGGTAACACGAAAAAGTTGTTATTTAAAGTTGGTAACTCTTTTAGTTTAATTAAAAGAGTCCGGCAATATTAAGCAGAAAAAATGTAAACAAACATATTTCGCGCAATTTGTTAAATTGATGCGATTTTATTTCGTACTAGTTATTTTTATTAAGCAATTTACATATATTTTACAAATCAAATAACAATGAGTAAATCAAAATCAACGCGTTCCACTAAAATCAAAGAAGAACCAGATGCCAGCACCAAAACTAAAATAAACTCCTCCGTTCCCTCGGCTTTACGAAAATCTTTTACATTTCTCAACACATGCTGCAAGATGAAACAGAAAAATTAAGTTTGGAACGTTTTTATCATCCGGGCAAGGGAAAAGGCGGCTTTATTTATTACCAAGGATGACAAGCATATAATGGAAATATTGGAATTTGCTGAACCAAGAAGGAGCTGGCTGATTGACAGCGAAGTATGTTCAAATGGTCATATATATTTTACCACACCAATCGATGTAACATTCCTAGCATTACATCATTTGCGTAAACATTGTGTGAAAAGAGCCTTGGCACTGGATAGTATACACGATGATGAAGATCCTAGTGCAGCGAAAATTCTTAACCATTTTGTTGATCCTAAGAATTTGGGTTGCATAGCTGATGTAAAAACGGCCGGGGGAGATATGACATTCTACAAATATAATCATGATAAGACCATGGCTTGGTTATCCCTTAAAACTAAGCGCTTGGCAAAGTTATTACAGAGTAGTGGCATTTATTGCGGCAATAGTGCCGTATCACAAAATTTTGCCCGAAGTGAAAAGGCATTAGATGAAACGGCTAAAGATAGTGATTATTTGCGTATGGCTTGTGATTATGTGGGTAGTTATATAGCTGTCGAATTACACGAGGAGTTAACAAAACTATTGGAAATACCCTCTGAAATTCAAGCTATAACAGAGGATAAAAAGGCTTCTACAAATAAACGAAAATCTGGTGATAAACTTACTAGTGCTGGTACCAAAAAACAAAAACTGGAAAATGGTGCAGCCTCTAAACTAAAGAATTCTAATTTATTAGATGAATCTCTCGACAATGAAGAAGAGGACATCAAGGATGAGGAAGAAGAAAATAAAGTAAATACATCTATTAAAGAGGAACATAAATCACCTAAAGCTGCCACGGCTACGCCTCTCAAGGAGCGTTCATTAAGTGCCAAAGAGAAGTCATTGGCAAAAAGTGCTAAAGGCACTAAAAGTATAGCGTCATTTTTTATGAAAAAGACTGCTTAAATATACATACACATATATTTTTAAACAAACACTGTTAACACATTTTGTATGTTTTATTATCATTTAAGTGCAAGTCTGAAAAATTAAGTATTTATTTTTAATTAAATGTATTTGCTTTTCTAAAAAAAATTGAAAAAAAACAGTTTTAACTAAAAATCGAATATGTATAACTTTCTTCTTAGAAATGTAGAAAAAAAAAATCAGATTTTGGAACATAGTCTATACTCTTCTAGTCTATAGTATAGACTATAGTGTTGTCTGTAGTCAAGTCTATAGACTAGAATATACTAGACTACAGAATATAGTCTAGTCTATAATAAGTTGTTTATGGAAAAGCTTATTGACTTCTCTGTGGATTAAACTATAGGATAGTCAATGGACTAATGTTTGTAATGCATTATGTCTATACATTACAAACATCAGAACAAATGCATTATATTCTCTGCGCTATAGTGATAAGGGTATAATAAAAAAAATTCCCAAAAATGCACAATATATGTAATAATAGTTGCAGTGTACACTGTGAAATGAATAGCCCTTTGAGATTATAATAATTTTATTCAGTTTTATTCACTCATATAATTAAGATAAACAAGTAATTAACAAGAAGTATAAAAGGACATTAAAATTTCAAAATGATGGCAGTCATATTTTGGACATTTCCGCTGTTGCGCTAGTAACGATGAAACTTGAACAGGATAAAAATTCAACAAATACAAATTTGGACATTCCAAACACAAATTTAAATTCACCAACTATAAGTGATATTTCTAGTAGTGTTATAATTAAAACTAATTTAATATATGGAAATCGGAAAACCGCTTATAAGTCTGTTATAAGAGAATATTCCAAGAAGACTAGCGTACATGGTTTGAAGTATATTTTTGAAATACATCGACCATTTTATGAAAAGTTAAGTGATGTTAATGTAAAAATTAATTAAAATTTATATGTTTTTAACTAAAAATTTAATGCTTGATATTTCTAGATTATTTTGGCTTATTTTCCTCTTAATATCTCTATTTTTTGCGGGGAAATATACGTGGAAAACTTATGTAAAATGGTTAGATTCTCCAACGGTTTTGGGATTCGATGAAACTCTAGTGAAAATTCATAAAATACCATTTCCAACTGTAACCATTTGTCCGGAAAACAAACGAGATGCGTTCAAATTCGATTTTAGCTATGTGTCAAATATGTTTTGGTCTGAAATGGAAAATTTAAATGAATTTCATAATGAAACGTCATATTTTAGAGAACATTAGTAAGTGTTACTAAATTAAATTAATTTCTAACAAAAATTTTATTTTAATAATCAATTATAAAGTTTCAAAAATGCTATAACATTTTCACATATTCATTCCAGTTAATAAAAATGTTTTAAGTAATTTTAGAATGGGTACAAGCAGAACTACTTGGGCAATAACCTGGGAACCATTGAATTCGCAATCAGATCTAAAAACGTTTCTCTGAGACATTAATGTGTTTATAAATTAAAAAATCTAGTAGACTAGTCAATAGATTGGTCAATAGATTAGTTAATAGACTATTCCATAGATTAGACAAAAGTCAAGCCCATAGACTAGTCAAAAGTCTAGACAATAGACTAATCAAAAGACTAGTAAATAGACTAGTACATAGACTATTCCTGCATTCCCCGACAACCGGTTCTACGTACCGGAATGATCCGAATTATTCGGCCAAGGGCTGTCAACCCCAGAAACAACAATACAATAGACTATTCCTCTGACTATTTCCTAGTTAAGTCCATTGACTTGTCTATAGACTAGTAAATGGGCTAGTCAATGGTCAATGGGCTAGTCCATAGACTAGTCAATAACGTAGTCCACAGACTAGTCAATAAAGTCCATAGTCCAGTCCGTAGATTTCACTTCTGAAAGTGTTTCTCTGAAACATTGATGTGTTTATAAATTAAAAATTTAGTAGACTGGTCAATAGACTAGTGCATAGACTAGCCCATAGACTAGACAAATGACTAGTCCCTAGATTAGTCAATAGACTGGTCCGTAATCTAGTCTATAGACTAGTCCGTAGATTAGTCTTTAAAATGTCCATTTCCATGCTTGTTATAAAGCAATTGAATTGATTTTTTTAGAAAAATCAATTCAATTGCTTTATAATAGCAACATCACTAGTCCCAAGTTTGATTTGAATTTGTTTGGTTTTAATCTCTTCTATAACTAGTTAATTTAAAAGAAATCCTAAAATTATTCCTAGAGTATAATAAAATTTTAATAATTTTATATAAATGTATCTCCATAGTTTGGAAAAGTTTCTGACTACATTGCAAACATGTGACCTAGAAGTTATTAATAAATTCTATCCTTATGTACCAAAAAACCTAACAGTAGATATAGTACAAAATCTACTAAATATAGCCTCCGGTACATATAATATAATACGATGGAAAGGAATAGTTTATTACGATTGTCTTAAAAGGGTACTTACCGATGAGGGAGTATGCTATCAATTTAATGGTTTACAACATCAAGATATTTACAAAAATCCCGAGTAAGTACGAACACAATTAAAGTGGAAACTTAACAAATATTTTCATTTATTTTCAGTTACATGAGCTATAAAAATGATGAATCATATTGTTATTTAAATAAAAAACGAAATTTATCATTTGATGAGTATTATCAAAGTCAAGGTTTTAGTACATATCTGGAAAGATCCACTTTATCATCGGCACGTTATGGTTTTCGTGTACTTTTAGATTCTGATACGGACGATAATGACTATGAGTGTACAAGATTTAAACAAGGTTTTAAGGTATGCTATGAGTGCATTATACAAAGATTTAGATGTAATTTACTCGCTATATATGTATCTATATTTATATAGCTATTTATAAACTCTCCCGATAGTATACCATTAACGATGGGAAACTATATATTAGTTCCCTATTCTCATGAAGTAATGGTAACACTTTCACCTCAGTATATAACATCTCAAAAACAATTATGGAATATTGAGCCAGAAAAGTAAGATACAAAATTATTTGTATATCGTTTCTTAAAAATATGACAATTATTCGGGTAGTCATTTAAGGAACTTATAATGGATTTTTCTTTTTGTGTATATTTTCTTTAGGAGACAATGCTATTTTAATAATGAACGAAATTTATATTTCTTTAAAATCTATACACAAACTAATTGTCAAGCAGAATGTTTAACTAATTATACTATAGCAAAGTGTGGCTGTGTTAAATTTTGGATGCCCAGTAAGTTAAGTTATACATATTAAATTAATATCTCTGAACTGAACTTGAACAAGAACTGAACTAGAACTGAACTTGAACAAGAACTGAACTAGAACTGAACTTGAACTTGAACTGAACTGAACTAGAACTGAACTAGAACTGAACTAGAACTGAACTAGAACTGAACTAGAACTGAACTAGAACTGAACTGAACTAGAACTGAACTAGAACTGAACTAGAACTGAACTTAGAACTGAACTAGAACTGAACTAGAACTGAACTAGAACTGAACTAGAACTGAACTAGAACTGAACTAGAACTGAACTAGAACTGAACTAGAACTGAACTAGAACTGAACTAGAACTGAACTAGAACTGAACTAGAACTGAACTAGAACTGAACTAGAACTGAACTAGAACTGAACTAGAACTGAACTAGAACTGAACTAGAACTGAACTAGAACTAAACTAGAACTGAACTAGAACTGAACTAGAACTGAACTAGAACTGAACTAGAACTGAACTAGAACTGAACTGAACTAGAACTGAACTAGAACTGAACTAGAACTGAACTGGAACTGAACTAGAACTGAACTAAAACTGAACTAGAACTGAACTAGAACTGAACTAGAACTGAACTAGAACTGAACTAGAACTGAACTAGAACTGAACTAGAACTGAACTAGAACTGAACTAGAACTGAACTAGAACTGAACTAGAACTGAACTAGAACTGAACTAGAACTGAACTAGAACTGAACTAGAACTGAACTAGAACTGAACTAGAACTGAACTAGAACTGAACTAGAACTGAACTAGAACTGAACTAGAACTGAACTAGAACTGAACTAGAACTGAACTAGAACTGAACTAGAACTGAACTAGAACTGAACTAGAACTGAACTAGAACTGAACTAGAACTGAACTAGAACTGAACTAGAACTGAACTAGAACTGAACTAGAACTGAACTAGAACTGAACTAGAACTGAACTAGAACTGAACTAGAACTGAACTAGAACTGAACTAGAACTGAACTAGAACTGAACTAGAACTGAACTAGAACTGAACTAGAACTGAACTAGAACTGACTAGAACTGAACTAGAACTGAACTAGAACTGAACTAGAACTGAACTAGAACTGAACTAGAACTGAACTAGAAAACTAGAACTGAACTAGAACTGAACTAGAACTGAACTAGAACTGAACTAGAACTGAACTAGAACTGAACTAGAACTGAACTAGAACTGAACTAGAACTGAACTAGAACTGAACTAGAACTGAACTAGAACTGAACTAGAACTGAACTAGAACTGAACTAGAACTGAACTAGAACTGAACTAGAACTGAACTAGAACTGAACTAGAACGGAACTAGAACTAGAACTGAACTAGAACTGAACTGGAACTGAACTGGAACTGGAACTGAACTGGAACTGAACTAGAACTGAACTAGAACTGAACTAGAACTGAACTAGAACTGAACTAGAACTGAACTAGAACTGAACTAGAACTGAACTAGAACTGCACTAGAACTGGAAAAAGATGAAGTTTTAAAAACTAGCTAGTTTTTTGTTCTCCAGGTAGACTCTGGTTTTAAAATAAGAACTAAAAAAAATTTCATGGGATAATATCATTATTAATAAAGTAATTATCATTATTTAAAGAACCCTTGGATATTCCTATTTGTGATCTTTCAAAAGTGACCTGTTACACCAATGCCACCAATGAATTGGAAGTCTTAATAGCCAATCAAACAGCTCAAAAAGCTAAAGATCCTACTGTAAAAATATTGTGTGATTGCATGCCTGCCTGCAATTCATTGGAATATAATTTCGAAATAAATCGAGCATATTTTGATACCGATGCACTGGTTAAAGCAATTCGTGGAGATAGATATAAGAAGTATGTAAATACATATTTTTGATGACTATTGTATGTATGGTATGTATTTTTTTATTATAACGAAATGTGTATTTCTATTTAGGACTCGTATATCACGTCTAAACATTCACTTTAGAGAAACACAATTTACCGCCATTAAACGTACTGTTCTATACGATCTTACGCAATTAATTGCTAATTGTGGTGGAATATTCGCTCTATTTATGGGAGTTTCTATGTTAAGTCTTATCGAATTAATATATTTCTTTTCGGTACGTTTAGTTAATAATTTCCGTAAACGCAGACAGATTCAAAAGAAAATTAAACAATTAGAAATTTTGAATATTAATTGATTTTTTAATATTAATTGATTTAATAAATTAATAACGAAGATTTGAATATATAGCTAAAGTGGTAAACCTATTTGTATGAGTTAAAGGTATGTATTGGATGTATAACATAAAAATGCCATCTGGCATACATAGTAATGTTATTATTCTCACATATCGTCCAGGTCAGTCAAAAACATTATGTCGAATCGACATCAAAGCTAAATAAATATGTTGCTCTGCATTTGGAGCGATCAAAAGTGTAGCAGCTAACATCTGGCCCATTATAGGGAACCGAATGTAAATAGCGCATTATTATGTATGTTAGATACCCAATACATTACTGAAATATCTATTTGCACATTTGAAATTAATCATAAAACTCTTTTACAATGTATTTCATAAGTTATTATAAAAATTGCTTAATAAAATTAAATTTTCAAAAACTAAAAGATCGCTATTAAACCATATTTATAACGAAATTTAAAAAAAAAAAAATCCAAAAATTTAATAAAGGAAATTTAAAAAAAGTTTATTGAATTTTTTTTCAATTTAAAAAATATTACAATTTTCAAAATCAGACTAGAACTGAACTAGAACTGAACTAGAACTAAACTAGAACTGAACTAGAACTGAACTAGAACTGAACTAGAACTGAACTAGAACTGAACTAGAACTGAACTAGAACTGAACTAGAACTGAACTAGAACTGAACTAGAACTGAACTAGAACTGAACTAGAACTGAACTAGAACTGAACTAGAACTGAACTAGAACTGAACTAGAATTGAACTAGAACTGAACTAGAACTGAACTGGAACTGAACTAGAACTGAACTAGAACTGAACTAGAACTGAACTAGAACTGAACTAGAACTGAACTAGAACTGAACTAGAACTGAACTAGAACTGAACTAGAACTGAACTAGAACTGAACTAGAACTGAACTAGAACTGAACTAGAACTGAACTAGAACTGAACTAGAACTGAACTAGAACTGAACTAGAACTGAACTAGAACTGAACTAGAACTGAACTAGAACTGAACTAGAACTGAACTAGAACTGAACTAGAACTGAACAGAACTATGTAGAACGAAAATCAACGATTAAAGATGAGACAATTTTAAGCACAAATCATTGGTATAAAAGATCTAACTAGAACGAGTAAAAATAGACAGCTTTAAGTTAAAATTTGGTTCTTTAAATCCTGCACGTGTTGTTCGTTTGTATTCACACTAATGTTACGGAAACTATTTTGTATTAAGCGATTAAATATATAATGAAAATTTTAAATAGTCCTTCGAGATTAAAATTATTTAATTAAAGTTACACACATTTAGCTATTTTACATTATCCAGTAATTGACAAGTATGTATAAAAGTATATGAAATGTTCCAAATGTTTTTAGTCATATTTTGACCATAAACAAGGCAAAATGAAAAATGAAGAAAATGAAAAAATTTCAAATAAAAATAACGAAGAACAACGGGACTTAAATACAAGTTTAACATCACTGGCATTAAGTGAAGTTCCCAGTGATTTAATCATACAGACCAATTTAATATATGGAAAAAAGTCTTCGGCTTATAAGGCCGTATTAAGGGAATATTCAAAGAAAACTTCGGTGCATGGATTAAATTATATTTTCGCTATACATCGACCATTTTATGAAAAGTTAAGTGTTAACAAAAATATAATTAATTGTTTTATTTTTTTTTTTAAAGTAATACTTAATACTTTAAGATTATATTGGATTATTTTCACGGTAATATCACTTTATTTGGCCATAAGCTATATGTGGGAAACATATATCAAATGGTTAGATACTCCTACCATATTGGGTTTCGATGAAACTTTAGTGAAAATACATAAAATACCATTTCCAACTGTAACCATATGTCCGGAGAACAAAAGAGATATAACAAAATTTGATTTTTCTGATGTATCGGAATTTATATGGTCTGAAATTGAACAACATAAAAAATTTCCCGATAAGGAGGTTTTAACAGAGGAATAGTGAGTTTATATATAAAATTCTATAGGAAGATTTATAAATTCAATTCTTTTGTAGTGTACACAAATTTCTGGCAACATTACAAACATGCAATCAAGAAGTTATCAATAGATTTTCCCCATTTTTACCGACCAACATAAATGTGGACGTGGCGGAAAATCTTTTGAATATGGTCGCCGATATAAATGTAACAATGCAAATGTGTAAATGGAATGGTCGTTTTGATGAGGGTTGTAGTATTATTAGAAAGGTGCTTACAGATGAGGGTGTATGCTATCAATTTAATGGTTTAAGGCCTCAAGATATTTATCGCCAATCAGAGTAAGTATTCTCCTTATTAATAAGACATATAGTAATTAATTCCAATTCGTTTCAGTTTTATAAGTTATAAAGATGAAGAAGCCGATAAGTTTAATAATACGCATAATTGGTCATTGGATTATGGTTATCAGGATCAAGGTTTTAATGCCTATCCAAAAAGATCTATTATGTCATCAGTTCGCAATGGTTTTTACGCTTTACTAGGTGCCTATGAAGATGATAATGATTATGTTTGTAATAGATTTAAACAAGGATTTAAGGTATTTTATGTTTGATAAAATCAGATCTTAATTATAGATATGTGTTGTTATGTGTATGTATGTAGGTCTTTCTAAACTCTCCTGATAGTGTACCTGTAACAACGGGTAATTATATTTTGGTGCCCAATTCTCATGAAGTAATGGTAACAGTTTTACCACAATATATAACATCTCTGGATAATTTATTACAATTTGGACCTGAAAAGTATGTTAATAAGTTATAGTATATATCATGAGAATTTTACCGGAATTTCATTTAAAATATCGTGTCCTAAAGTTAAAAAAAAAACACCGTTTTTGCCATATTTGAGACGTTATGATATCATAAGGACACGTTTGTTAATAAAAATCTGTTATGTCATCTGAAAGTCTAATCTGTCTATCTTAAAATAAAGGTTTAACTTCCGTTATATCTTCTTACTTCTTCCCTACCGCTGGAACCAATGAAACATTTTCAAAAACTGATTATTTTACTTTCATAACGTTCTTGTCATAAAGTCTCAAATATTTGTTTAAGATTTAATTGCAATCCATATCGATTGATCAAATTTGGTCTTCCGATTTTCCTATAATTTGCTATATATGTATATTTTCTATCTAGGAGGCAATGCTATTTTAATAGTGAACGAAATTTATACTTCTTTAAATTCTATACACAAAATAACTGTCAAACTGAATGTTTAACTAATTATACCATAGCAAAATGTGGTTGCGCTAAATTTTGGATGCCCAGTAAGTTTTATAATATATAACATTACCCACTTTAAAGCTTTATCATTTTCTTTAGAACCTTTGGATGTGCCAGTTTGTGATCTAACTAAAGTTAACTGTTATAACAATGCCGCCAATGAGTTGGAAATCATTATAGCAAATCAAACTGCACAAAAAGTTAAAGATTCGAATGTGAAAATAATGTGTGATTGCATGCCCGCCTGCAACTCATTGGAATATAATTACGAAATAACACGTGCCTATTTAGACGCCGAAGCAACAACAATAGCCCATCGTGAAAATTATGAAGAAGATGGGTAGGAAATGTTGCAGTAGAGTAATTTAAAAAAAATGTATTATTTTATGAAAATCTTTCGTTTTAGTGCTATTACATCTCGTGTAACTGTTTACTATCGGGAATCTCAATTTACCGCCATTAAACGTACTGTCCTTTACGATCTCACGCAATTAATTGCCAATTGTGGTGGTATTTTCGGCTTATTTATGGGCATTTCTATGTTAAGTGTTATCGAGTTTATATATTTCTTTTCGCTGCGTTTGCTGAATAATTTTCGTAAGAGAAAATTGATTCAAAAGAAATTGGAAGAATTAGAAATGGAAATTCCAAATTGTTCTTAATTAACTAATACAAGTTTTTAATAAATTAAATGCATACATACATAATTCTTATTTATTTAGTAAGTAAGTTAGTTTGTTAGTTAGTTAGTTAGTTAGTTAGTTAGGTAGTTAGTTAGTTAGTTAGTTAGTTAGTTAGTTAGTTAGTTAGGTAGTTAGTTAGTTAGTTAGTTAGTTAGTTAGTTAGTTAGGTAGTTAGTTAGTTAGTTAGGTAGGTAGTTAGTTAGTTAGTTAGTTAGTAGTTAGTTAGTTAGTTAGTTAGTTAGTTAGTTAGTTAGTTAGTTAGTTAGTTAGTTAGTTAGTTAGTTCGTTAGTTAGTAGTTAGTTAGTTAGTTAGTTAGTTAGTTAGTTAGTTAGTTAGTTAGTTAGTTAGTTAGTATTAGTTAGTTAGTTAGTTAGTTAGTTAGTTAGTTAGTTAGTTAGTTAGTTAGTTAGTTAGTTAGTTAGTTAGTTAGTTAGTTAGTTAGTTAGTTAGTTAGTTAGTTAGTAGTTAGTTAGTTAGTTAGTTAGTTAGTTAGTTAGTTAGTTAGTTAGTTAGTTAGTAGTTAGTTAGTAGTTAGTTAGTTAGTTAGTTAGTTAGTTAGTTAGTTAGTTAGTTAGTAGTTAGTTAGTTAGTTAGTTAGTTAGTTAGTTAGTTAGTTAGTTAGTTAGTTAGTTAGTTAGTTAGTTAGTTAGTTAGTTAGTTAGTTAGTTAGTTAGTTAGTTAGTTAGTTAGTTAGTTAGTTAGTTAGTTAGTTAGTTAGTTAGTTAGTAGTAGTTAGTTAGTTAGTTAGTAGTTAGTTAGTTAGTTAGTAGTTAGTTAGTTAGTTAGTTAGTTAGTTAGTTAGTTAGTTAGTTAGTTAGTTAGTTAGTTAGTTAGTTAGTTAGTTAGTTAGTTAGTTAGTTAGTTAGTTAGTTAGTAGTTAGTTAGTTAGTTAGTTAGTTAGTTAGTTAGTTAGTTAGTAGTTAGTTAGTTAGTTAGTTAGTTAGTTAGTTAGTTAGTTAGTTAGTTAGTTAGTTAGTTAGTTAGTTAGTTAGTTAGTTAGTTAGTTAGTTAGTTAGTTAGTTAGTTAGTTAGTTAGTTAGTAGTTAGTAGTTAGTTAGTTAGTTAGTTAGTAGTTAGTTAGTTAGTTAGTTAGTTAGTTAGTTAGTTAGTTAGTTAGTTAGTTAGTTAGTTAGTTAGTAGTTAGTTAGTTAGTAGTTAGTTAGTTAGTTAGTTAGTTAGTTAGTTAGTTAGTTAGTTAGTTAGTTAGTTAGTTAGTTAGTTAGTTAGTTAGTTAGTTAGTTAGTTAGTTAGTTAGTTAGTTAGTTAGTTAGTTAGTTAGTAGTTAGTTAGTTAGTTAGTTAGTTAGTTAGTTAGTTAGTTAGTTAGTTAGTTAGTTAGTTAGTTAGTTAGTTAGTTAGTTAGTTAGTTAGTTAGTTAGTTAGTTAGTTAGTTAGTTAGTTAGTTAGTTAGTTAGTTAGTTAGTTAGTTAGTTAGTTAGTTAGTAGTTAGTTAGTTAGTTAGTAGTTAGTTAGTTAGTTAGTTAGTTAGTTAGTTAGTTAGTTAGTAGTTAGTTAGTTAGTTAGTTAGTTAGTTAGTTAGTTAGTTAGTTAGTTAGTTAGTTAGTTAGTTAGTTAGTTAGTTAGTTAGTTAGTTAGTTAGTTTAGTTAGTTAGTTAGTTAGTTAGTTAGTTAGTTAGTTAGTTAGTTAGTTAGTAGTTAGTTAGTTAGTTAGTTAGTTAGTTAGTTAGTTAGTTAGTTAGTTAGTTAGTTAGTTAGTTAGTTAGTTAGTTAGTTAGTTAGTTAGTTAGTAGTTAGTTAGTTAGTTAGTAGTTAGTTAGTTAGTTAGTTAGTTAGTTAGTTAGTTAGTTAGTTAGTAGTTAGTTAGTTAGTTAGTTAGTTAGTTAGTTAGTTAGTTAGTTAGTTAGTTAGTTAGTTAGTTAGTTAGTTAGTTAGTTAGTTAGTTAGTTAGTTAGTTAGTTAGTTAGTTAGTTAGTTAGTTAGTTAGTTAGTTAGTTAGTTAGTTAGTTAGTTAGTTAGTTAGTTAGTTAGTTAGTTAGTAGTAGTTAGTTAGTTAGTTAGTTAGTTAGTAGTTAGTTAGTAGTTAGTTAGTTAGTTGTAGTTAGTTAGTTAGTTAGTTAGTTAGTTAGTTAGTTAGTTAGTTAGTTAGTTAGTTAGTTAGTTAGTAGTTAGTTAGTTAACCGGTGTCTCTTTTTCAATGAAATGTTATTCATTCCTTCAAATTACTTTAATTGTAATAGCTTCTCGTTCAACTTTCTTCCTCCTTTCCCCTAAAAAGTGAAAGTTTTACCTTTATTATACATATCAATTACTACACACACCGTTAATTGCCTACAGCTGCAAATGATTTACTATACAAAGTCATAAGGGGGTTGGTACATTGTATAGTCTTTCGAGAATAATGCACATTTAATGAATATTTTTTAATTAGCAAATGCACATTTTGCCACATTGATCAAATGTTGACAGTCATAATCTGGAAACAGAATAATATAGTTGCACAAAAGTAAAATTTACGATATAAAAATGAAAAGTGAACATCGTAAGAAATCAAATTTACCAGGGAACGATGACATTACAAGTCTAAGTTCTCTTGATTTAAGTAATGTTTCAAGCGGCGTTATAAACAAAGCCAATTTCTTTTATGGCAGTCGAAAATCAGCTTATAAAGCCGTTTTAAGAGAGTACTCCAAGAAGACTTCAGTACATGGATTAAATTATGTTTTGCAAATTCATCGACCATTTTATGAAAAGTAGCAATAACATGAAAGAAGGTTTGCTTTACTGTAGTTAATATGGTTATTTCAATTTTCAGATTATACTGGATTGTTGCATTATTGTTATCACTTTATTTGGCAACATACTATATGTGGGGTAGCTATGTTAAATGGTCGAATATACCAATAATATTAGGTTTTGATGAAACACTGGTGAAAATTAATCAAATACCATTTCCAACTATAACCATATGTCCGGAAAACCAAATAAATTTTATAAATTACCAGTTTTCAAATATATCGGATTTAATATGGTTTGAAATTGAAGAATATGGAAATTTTCAAAACAGGAACAACATAAGTGAAGAAGAGTAAGTGTGTTATGTTATAAAAACTTTTTTTTTAATGAATTACTTTTTTTAGAAAACTAAATTTTTTGTTGACGTTGCAAATATGTGACCAAGAGACAATCGATAGATATTCTCCCTATATGCCAAAAAATTTAAATATAAACGTGGCTCAAAATCTAATCGATATAGTAAGCGATGCACAAACGATATTAACTTTTGTTGAATTTAAGGGTGATTCAAATGACTATGATCTTGAAATGGTTCTCACTAATGAGGGCGTTTGTTATCAGTTTAATGGATTAAATCATCAAGATATTTATAACAATATAGAGTATAATATGATATATAGTTTAATTGCTTCATGCATAAGTTTTATTACAATCTTTTCAGTTATATTCCTTATAATGGTGGTCTAAAAAATAATATTAGCGTAACGGGAAGTTGGTCTTTAGATGATGGATATCAGAATTCCAGTGAATATCCTATAAGAACAAGTTCCTCATCTATTAGCAGCGGTTTTTATCTTTATTCGCTGAGATTGAAAAGTTTTAAACAAGTTTTTAAGGTAATTTGTTAATTACACTATAAATTAACTTAAAATATACATTGTATTAATATACAGGTATTTATAAACTCTCCCGATAATATACCCCAAACAACGGATAATTATTACATTATGGTTCCTGACTCCAAGCAAGTAATTGTAACAGTTTTACCACAATTTATTAAGACTCAAGCTAATTTAAGGGATTTTGACATCGAAAAGTAAGAAAATAGTTTCATATGTATATATATCACTATTATTTATATATTAGACTATAGACTAGAGTATAATTTAGACTACAGACTAGAATATATACTAGACTATAGACTAGACTATTGACTAGACTATAGACTAGACTATAGACTAGACTATAGACTAGACTATAGACTAGACTATAGACTATACTATAGACTAGACTATAGACTAGACTACAGACTAGACTATAGACTAGACTATAGACTAGACTATAGACTAGACTACAGACTATACTATAGACCAGACTATAGACTAGACTATAGACTAGACTATAGACTATACTATAGACCAGACCTATAGACTAGACTATAGACTAGACTATAGACTAGACTATAGAATAGACTATAGACTAGATTATAGACTAGACTATGACTAGACTATAGACTAGACTATAGACTATACTAGACTATAGACTAGACTAGACTATAGACTAGACTAGACTATAGACTAGACTATAATCTAGACTATAGACGAGAACATAGACTAGACTATAGATAGACTATAGCTAACTATAGACTAGACTATAGACTAGACTATAGGACTAGACTATAGACTAGACTATAGACTAGACTATAGACTAGACTAATAGACTGACATAGACTAACTAGACTAGACTATAGACTAGACTATAGACTAGACTATAGCAGACTATAGACTAGACTATAGACTAGACTATAGACTAGACTATAGACTATACTAGACTATAGACTAGACTATAGACTAGACTATAGACTAGACTATAAACTAGACTATAGACTAGACTATAGACTAGAGTATAGACTAGACTATAGACTAGACTATAGACTAGAGTATAGACTAGACTATAGACTAGACTATAGACTAGACTATAGACTAGAGTATAGACTAGACTATAGACTAGACTATAGACTAGACTATAGACTAGACTCTAGACTAGACTATAGACTAGACTATAGACTAGACTATAGACTAGACTATAGACTAGACTATAGACTAGACTATAGACTAGACTATAGACTAGACTATAGACTAGACTATAGACTAGACTATAGACTAGACTATAGACTAGACTATAGACTAGACTATAGACTAGACTATAGACTAGACTATAGACTAGACTATAGACTAGACTATAGACTAGACTATAGACTAGACTATAGACTAGACTATAGACTAGACTATAGACTAGACTATAGACTAGACTATAGACTAGACTATAGACTAGACTATAGACTAGACTATAGACTAGACTATAGACTAGACTATAGACTAGACTATAGACTAGACTATAGACTAGACTATAGACTAGACTATAGACTAGACTATAGACTAGACTATAGACTAGACTATAGACTAGACTATAGACTAGACTATAGACTAGACTATAGACTAGACTATAGACTAGACTATAGACTAGACTATAGACTAGACTATAGACTAGACTATAGACTAGACTATAGACTAGACTATAGACTAGACTATAGACTAGACTATAGACTAGACTATAGACTAGACTATAGACTAGACTATAGACTAGACTATAGACTAGACTATAGACTAGACTATAGACTAGACTATAGACTAGACTATAGACTAGACTATAGACTAGACTATAGACTAGACTATAGACTAGACTATAGACTAGACTATAGACTAGACTATAGACTAGACTATAGACTAGACTATAGACTAGACTATAGACTAGACTATAGACTAGATTATAGACTAGACTATAGACTATAGACTAGACTATAGACTAGACTATAGACTAGACTATAGACTAGACTATAGACTAGACTATAGACTAGACTATAGACTAGACTATAGACTAGACTATAGACTAGACTATAGACTAGACTATAGACTAGACTATAGACTAGACTATAGACTAGACTATAGACTAGACTATAGACTAGACTATAGACTAGACTATAGACTAGACTATAGACTAGACTATAGACTAGACTATAGACTAGACTATAGACTAGACTATAGACTAGACTATAGACTAGACTATGACTAGACTATAGACTAGACTATAGACTAGACTATAGACTAGACTATAGACTAGACTATAGACTAGACTATAGACTAGACTATAGACTAGACTATAGACTAGACTATAGACTAGACTATAGACTAGACTATAGACTAGACTATAGACTAGACTATAGACTAGACTATAGACTAGACTATAGACTAGACTATAGAGACTAGACTATAGACTAGACTATAGACTAGACTAGACTATAGACTAGACTATAGACTAGACTATAGACTAGACTATAGACTAGACTATAGACTAGACTATAGACTAGACTATAGACTAGACTATAGACTAGACTATAGACTAGACTATAGACTAGACTATAGACTAGACTATAGACTAGACTATAGACTAGACTATAGACTAGACTATAGACTAGACTATAGACTAGACTATAGACTAGACTATAGACTAGACTATAGACTAGACTATAGACTAGACTATAGACTAGACTATAGACTAGACTATAGACTAGACTATAGACTAGACTATAGACTAAACTATAGATTAGACTAGATTAAATAACTAATTCTAGAAACGTTCTAAAGAACGTCATAACGCTTCCACATTACCAGTTCTGAAGGTGTTAAATACGAGTACGATTTCGTTCTGGAACTGTTGTGGAACTAATACAATTTTTCCTAGGAATATAACTATTTTATATTAAAAAACTTAATAAGGTCTGTGTTTTTTAGGAGACAATGTTATTTTAATAAGGAGCGGAATTTACGTTTCTTCAAATTCTATACTCAAAATAATTGCCAAACAGAATGTTTAACTAATTATACCATAGCAAAGTGTGGATGCGCTAAGTTTTGGATGCCCAGTAAGTACCCTGTAGGAAATGTCAATATTAAAAATATGCTTAATCGCTATTGACTTTGTCAGTAGTACTAGTGTCGAATTATACCCTATACAAGGCTTAGTGCTATTGACATTTAACATGTGCGTGTCATTGAAAATCCTCTAGTAACATTATGACTATTGACTCGGTATTGACTAGGTACTTCTCATGGATCCATATGGTGACATTAGAACCAGGAATTTACTAGTACATTTCTATATCGCGAGTCCATTCAGTTTTAATACAGACATTTTCTTAAGGAATATTGACATGTTTGTTGACAATGCCACTAGATATACACCAAATCTTTGGTCTCTGTATTTTTTATATTGACACAGAAATGAAAGATTGGAAACATTTGAACTAGTACTGTTGACAAAAAGATATATGGACCCAGTCTGACTGCAGGGTACAGTTAATGAAGTTAAATTGTTATATCTGGCTATTCAGAATCCTACATATACATCTTTCAGCATATGTATATTATATATCTCGTACGCATAGTTCTTTTTTCTTATCAAATAATAGGTACCTAGAATACCTTGCATTGATATACCATATATAATATACCGTCTGAAATCAGTTAAAAATTTTAGAAAAAGATTATTTTTTCTAAATTTTCTGTAAATGTTTGGTTTAGCTTAGTTTAAATATAAATTCTATCTGTTCGAATTATTCATGATTTGGAACTCAAAAATATCTGGGATCTTTGGGTACTTCATTTCCACAAATATAAGGCTATACATAGCTAAAAGGAAAAATATTATATGCATATATACTTTATTCCCGCAAAGATAAAGTTTATAAAAACTTGCTAATAACGTTGAATCTTTAAATATAGAACCTTCGGATATTCCGTTTTGTGATTTCACACAATTAACCTGTTGCTCTAAAGCCGCCCAAGAGTTGGATGTCATTTTAACTAATCAAACTATTAAAAAACTAAAGATCCCAAAGTGAAAATAATGTGTGATTGCATACCAGCCTGTAATTCTCTGGAATATAATTACGAAATTACACAAGGAACTGTTAATATAATGCTTTTTTAAAGGCTTCCCGACTAATTGAAGGTGCTGGAGAGGAGTAAGTTAATAAAAATATTGTAATTAACAGTTTTTTTTTTTCATAAAATTGTTTTTCTAGTTACATAGAATCTGATCTAATAGTCCACTATAAGGAATCACAATTTACTGCCATTAAACGTACTGTGATATACGATCGTACTCAATTATTGCAAACTGTGGTGCCATTTTTGGATTATTTATGGGTGGTTCAATAATAAGTTTAATCGAATTTATATATTTCTTTTTTTTGCGTTTATTTAACAATTATCGTAGGAGGCTTTTAATTCAAAAGAAGTTAAAACAATTAGAAATGTTCAATTGTTTATAGTTTTTTTATATTAATTAATAAAATGCAATTTTAAAATTTCCAAAAAAGCATTAAGCTTAAAAAAACAACAAAACGAGGTTCTGAGGATAGGTTCATCAACATAAAGTTTGAAAAATAAGAGTAGACTATAGATTAGACTATAGCCTACACTATAGACTAGACTATAGACTAGACTATAGACTAGACTATAGACTAGACTATAGACTAGACTATAGACTAGACTATAGACTAGACTATAGACTAGACTATAGACTAGACTATAGACTAGACTATAGACTAGACTATAGACTAGACTATAGACTAGACTATAGACTAGACTATAGACTAGACTATAGACTAGACTATAGACTAGACTATAGACTAGACTATAGACTAGACTATAGCTATAGACTAGACTATAGACTAGACTATAGACTAGACTACAGAGTAGACTATAGACTAGACTACAGAGTAGACTATAGACTAGACTAGACTATAGGCTAGACTACATACTAGACTATAGACTAGACTATAGACAGACTATAGACTAGACTATACACTAGACTATAGACTTAGACTATAGGACTAGACTATAAGACTAGACTATAGACCTAGGGGACTATAGACTAGGACTATAGGACTAGACTATAGACTAGACTATAGGAACTAGACTATAGGACTAGACTATAGACGAGGACTATAGACTAGACACTATAGACTAGACTATAGGACTAGACTATAGACTAGACTATAGGACTAGACTATAGACTAGACTATAGACTAGACTATAGGCTAGACTATAGACTAAGACTATAGACTAGACTATAGACTAGACTATAGACTAGACTATAGGGACTAGACTATAGACTAGACTATAGACTAGAATATAGACTAGACTATAGACTAGACTATAGACTAGACTATAGACTAGACTATAGACTAGACTATAGACTAGACTAGACTATAGGCTAGACTATATACTAGACTATAGACTAGACTATAGACTAGACTATACACTAGACTATAGACTAGACTATATACTGGACTATAGACTAGACTATAGACTAGACTATAGACTAGACTATAGACTAGACTATAGACTAGACTATAGACTAGACTATAGACTAGACTATAGACTAGACTATAGACTAGACTATAGACTAGACTATAGACTAGACTATAGACTAGACTATAGACTAGACTATAGACTAGACTATAGACTAGACTATAGACTAGACTATAGACTAGACTATAGACTAGACTATAGACTAGACTATAGACTAGACTATAGACTAGACTATAGACTAGACTATAGACTAGACTATAGACTAGACTATAGACTAGACTATAGACTAGACTATAGACTAGACTATAGACTAGACTATAGACTAGACTATAGACTAGACTATAGACTAGACTATAGACTAGACTATAGACTAGACTATAGACTAGACTATAGACTAGACTATAGACTAGACTATAGACTAGACTATAGACTAGACTATAGACTAGACTATAGACTAGACTATAGACTAGACTAGACTATAGACTAGACTAGACTAGACTATAGACTAGACTAGACTATAGACTAGACTATAGACTAGACTATAGACTAGACTATAGACTAGACTATAGACTAGACTAGACTATAGACTAGACTAGACTATAGACTAGACTAGACTATAGACTAGACTATAGACTAGACTAGACTATAGACTAGACTAGACTAGACTATAGACTAGACTATAGACTAGACTAGACTATAGACTAGACTAGACTAGACTAGACTAGACTAGACTATAGACTAGACTATAGACTAGACTATAGACTAGACTATAGACTAGACTAGACTATAGACTAGACTATAGACTAGACTAGACTATAGACTAGACTATAGACTAGACTATAGACTAGACTATAGACTAGACTATAGACTAGACTATAGACTAGACTATAGACTAGACTATAGACTAGACTATAGACTAGACTATAGACTAGACTATAGACTAGACTATAGACTAGACTATAGACTAGACTATAGACTAGGACTATAGACTAGACTATAGACTAGACTATAGACTAGACTATAGACTAGACTATAGACTAGACTATAGACTAGATATAGACTAGACTATAGACTAGACTATAGACTAGACTATAGACTAGACTATAGACTAGACTATAGACTAGACTATAGACTAGACTATAGACTAGGACTATAGGACTAGACTATAGACTAGACTATAGACTAGACTATAGACTAGGACTATAGACTAGACTATAGACTAGACTATAGACTAGACTATAGACTAGACTATAGACTAGACTATAGACTAGACTATAGACTAGACTATAGACTAGACTATAGACTAGACTATAGACTAGACTATAGACTAGACTATAGACTAGACAGACTATAGACTAGACTATAGACTAGACTATAGACTAGACTATAGACTAGACTATAGACTAGACTATAGACTAGACTATAGACTAGACTATAGACTAGACTATAGACTAGACTATACTAGACTAGACTAGACTAGACTAGACTAGACTAGACTAGACCAGACTAGACTAGGCTAGACTAGACTAGACTAGACTAGACTAGACTAGACTAGACTAGACTATAGACAAAACTTTTGAACTACTTATCAAAAGTTTATGAGTTAGAAAAAAGTACCGAAAAAGTCGTGGGGATACTTTAGTATCAGAACTAAAAAAAGTACTAAAAAGTACTTAACTAATAAAATTATTCAAAGATGAAGAACCCAAATTTAAAATCTCAATATGAAACATCATTTTACATTGACCCAATTACATATATGTATCTTAATTATATATGTATGTACATTTACATGAACAGAGTTTTCCAGAAAGATGTTTTTCAACCGGAGAATTTTAAGGAATTCTGTTTTATATAATTTGAAAAGATTTAGTAGCTCTTGGTCATTGGCTTTTAAAAAATTTTGTAGATAGTTATATAGGAAACGATTCAAATCTAATATACAAGAAAACTGTCATAAGAACTTCTTTCGAAAAAAGAAGTTCTTATTGCAAAACCCTTTATATGGTAAAATTCGCTTCTTTAAAGGTTTTAAACACACACACATACAGGCCATAAAGGTGCAGAAAATGATGATCTATATTATAAATATGCATTAAGTGGTATATTTTATAGTCCTTCGAGAGCAATAGCCATATAATTAGTATGATGTACCACAATATGGATATGAATGACAAATGTAAAAGTTTTCCGAAAATTGTTAAATGTTTACAGTCATATATTGGCAACTGTACGGCATAGTTTCTTAGGAAAATTAAATTGAAAAAAAATGAAAAGTGAACTTGATAATAATCAATAAATACAGATTCAAATTCAGAAGTTGATGATATAAATCTAAGTCTTAACTCCCTGGCTTTAAGTGATGTTCCCAGTTGTATTATAATTAAAACAAATTTTATTTATGGCAATAGAAAATCCGCTTTTAAGGCGGTATTCAAAGAATATTCCAAGAAGACATCAGTACATGGATTAAATTATATTTTTGAAATTCATCGACCAATTTATGAAAAGTAAAAATTAATAGACAATTTGTTAAAGTTAGTTAATTATAATATGTAATAATTGCAGATTATACTGGATTATTGCCCTATTAGTGTCACAATATTTGGCTATATACTATATGTGGGAAACCTATGATAAATGGTCAAATACTCCGGTTATTTTAGGATTTGATGAGACCCTTGTGGATATTAGTACAATACCATTTCCAGCTATTACCATATGTCCGGAAAATAAAAGAGATATGACAAATTCACAGTTTCCGGAGACGTCAACATTAATATGGTCTGAAATTGTGGAATATGGAGATTTTCAAAACAGATTAAATATCAGTGAAAAGCAGTAAGTTATGGACTAATTAATGCAATAAATATATTTAAGAAATTTCTGATATAGAGAACATCGTTTCCTTTCGACTTTGCAAACATGTGATCAAGAAGTTATCGCTAGATTTGCTCCCTATATAAAGAATAATATAAATATGAACGTGGCACAAACTCTATTAGATATAGTTCACGATACCAACACCACAATAACAGCCTGTGAATGGAAGACTGTTCTGGATTTCTCTTGTAGAATTCTAAAAAAAATGATCACAGAAGAGGGTGTATGTTTTCAATTTAACGGTTTGAGACATCAAGACATGTATAAGAAAATAGAGTGAGTTTTTAATAAGTATACATAAAATATCGCTGGACCTAATAGATTTTCGAGATAACAGTACATTTTATATTTTTTTGAAATAATTTTCAGATATATTAACTATAAGGATGAACTAGAAAACGATATTAATGTTACCGGAAGTTGGTCTTTAGATGACGGTTACCAGGGTCAAGGTTATAATGCATATCCTCTAAGATCCATTTTGCCATCAGTTCGTAATGGGTTTCGTCTCGAATTAGCAACATTTGGTAAACATATTGATTATCTATGTGGAACTTATAAACAAGGATATAAGGTAATGTATTAAACATACAGACATATATAAAATATTCTTAATGTTCTTATGTATTACACAAATAGGTCTTTTTGAACTCTCCCGATAGCATAGCTCTAACCAGGGGCAATTATATTTTGGTTCCTAAATCTAAAGATGTAATGATAACAGTTGTACCACAATTCATAAAGTCACAAGATAATTTAATGGATTATCCAGTCGAAAAGTAAGAAAACTATACATATAAAGTCCATTTTTGAGAAAAAAAACATTATAAATTTGATTTGTTCTATTTAGGAGACAATGTTACTTCAATAAAGAGCGAAATTTGCGTTTCTTTAAATTCTATACACAAAATAATTGTCAAACTGAATGTTTAACTAACTATACTATAGCGAAATGTGGTTGTGCCCGATTTTGGATGCCCAGTAAGTCAAACAAATATTATATGTTAAATATAAATTAATATTAAAATCCACTATCAGGACCCTTAGATGTTCCGATTTGTGATCTCACTAAATTAACCTGTTACACTAATGCCGCCCATGATCTCGAACTATTAATAGCAAATCAAACCGCTCGCAAAACTAAAGATCACAAAGTACAAATAATATGTGATTGCATACCGGCCTGTAACTCTCTGGAATATAATTTCGAAATTACACAAGGAAATTTAGATGCAAATGCTACACTTAAGGCTTATCGTCTATTTGATCATAATGAGGAGTAAGTTTTAAGGGAAAATAAACTAAAATAAGTTGTATTCTACTAAAAATTTCGTTTTTAGTATTTCCCTATCTCGTCTAATAGTTCACTATAAGGAATCACAATTTACTGCCATTAAACGTACTGCTATTTACGATTACACCCAATTAATTGCCAACTGTGGTGCTATATTTGGACTATTTATGGGCGGTTCTATATTAACTATAATTGAATTTATTTATTTCTTTTCTGTACGTTTATTTAATAATTATCGTAAGCGATTATTGATTCAAAAGAAAGTAGATGAGTTAGAAATTTCCCTGTCCAGTTGATAGATAATTTTGATAGCTATTTTACTTGCATGTTAAAATATGAAATTTTGTTGTTACATTTTTAATAATAAAACATTTTTGTTATAAAATAGAAATACAAATCGAATTGTTTATTCGAATTCGAAACGGTCTCGTTAATTATATAGTCTATGGGCTAGTCTATAGTCTATAATTATTATATTGGCAAGTTTAGTCTATAGTCTAGTCTATAGTCTAGCTATATTCTAGTTTATAGTATAGTCTAGTCTATAGACTGAACTATAGTCTAGTCTATATACTGAACTATAGTCTAGTCTATAGACTGAACTATAGTCTAGTCTATAGACTGAACTATAGTCTAGTCTATAGACTGAACTATAGTCTAGTCTATAGACTGAACTATAGTCTAGTCTATAGACTGAACTATAGTCTAGTCTATAGACTTAACTATAGTCTAGTCTATAGACTGAACTGTAGTCATATCTATAGTCTAGTCTATAGTCTAGTCTATAGTCTAGTCTATAGTCTAGTCTATAGTCTAGTCTATAGTCTAGTCTATAGTCTAGTCTATAGTCTAGTCTATAGTCTAGTCTATAGTCTAGTCTAGTCTATAGTCTAGTCTATAGTCTAGTCTATAGTCTAGTCTATAGTCTAGTCTAGTCTATAGTCTAGTCTATAGTCTAGTCTAGTCTATAGTCTAGTCTAGTCTATAGTCTAGTCTATAGTCTAGTCTAGTCTATAGTCTAGTCTATAGTCTAGTCTATAGTCTAGTCTATAGTCTAGTCTAGTCTATAGTCTAGTCTATAGTCTAGTCTAGGTCTATAGTCTAGTCTATAGTCTAGTCTAGTCTATAGTCTAGTCTATAGTCTAGTCTAGTCTATAGTCTAGTCTATAGTCTAGCCTATAGTCTAGTCTATAGTCTAGTCTATAGTCTAGCCTATAGTCTAGCCTATAGTCTAGTCTATAGTCTAGTCTATAGTCTAGTCTATAGTCTAGTCTATAGTCTAGTCTATAGTCTAGTCTATAGTCTAGTCTATAGTCTAGTCTATAGTCTAGTCTATACTAGTCTATCTAGTCTATAGTCTAGTCTATAGTCTAGTCTATAGCCTAGTACATAGTCTAGTCTATAGTCTAGTCTATAGTCTAGTTTATAGTCTAGTCTATAGTCTAGTCTATAGTCTAGTCTATAGTCTAGTCTATAGTCTAGTCTATAGTCTAGTCTATAGTCTAGTCTATAGTCTAGTCTATAGTCTAGTCTATAGTCTAGTCTATAGTCTAGTCTATAGTCTAGTCTATAGTCTAGTCTATAGTCTAGTCTATAGTCTAGTCTATAGTCTAGTCTATAGTCTAGTCTATAGTCTAGTCTATAGTCTAGTCTATAGTCTAGTCTATAGTCTAGTCTATAGTCTAGTCTATAGTCTAGTCTATAGTCTAGTCTATAGTCTAGTCTATAGTCTAGTCTATGGTCTAGTCTAGTCTATAGTCTAGTCTATAGTCTAGTCTATGGTCTAGTCTAGTCTATAGTCTAGTCTATGGTCTAGTCTAGTCTATAGTCTAGTCTATAGTTTAGTCTATAGTCTAGTCTATAGTCTAGTCTATAGTCTAGTCTATAGTTTAGTCTATAGTCTAGTCTATAGTCTAGTCTATAGTCTAGTCTATAGTCTAGTCTATAGTCTAGTCTATAGTCTAGTCTATAGTCTAGTCTATAGTGTAGTCTATAGTCTAGTCTATAGTCTAGTCTATAGTCTAGTCTATAGTCTAGTCTATAGTCTAGTCTAGTCTATAGTCTAGTCTAGTCTATAGTCTAGTCTAGTATATAGTCTAGTCTATAGTCTAGTCTATAGTCTAGTCTATAGTCTAGTCTATAGTCTAGTCTATAGTCTAGTCTAGTCTATAGTCTAGTCTAAAGTCTAGTCTATAGTCTAGTCTATAGTCTAGTCTATAGTCTAGTCTATAGTCTAGTCTATAGTCTAGTCTATAGTCTAGTCTGTAGTCTAGTCTATAGTCTAGTCTAGTCTATAGTCTAGTCTATAGTCTAGTCTATAGTCTAGTCTATAGTCTAGTCTATAGTCTAGTCTAGTCTATAGTCTAGTCTAGTCTATAGTCTAGTCTATAGTCTAGTCTATAGTCTAGTCTATAGTCTAGTCTATAGTCTAGTCTATAGTCTAGTCTATAGTCTAGTCTATAGTCTAGTCTATAGTCTAGTCTATAGTCTAGTCTATAGTCTAGTCTAGTCTATAGTCTAGTCTATAGTCTAGCCTATAGTCTAGTCTATAGTATAGTCTATTGTATTGTCTATAGTCAAATCTGTAGTCTTGTCTATAATCTGGTCTATAGTCTTGTCTATAGTCTAGTCTGTAATCTAGTCTATAGTCTAGTCTATAGCCTAGTCTTTAGTCTATATTCTAGTATATAGTCTTATCTATAGTCTAGTCTATAGTCTTGCCTAGACTATAGTCCAATTTATAATCTAGATTATAGTTTAACCTGTAGACTAGTCTACAGTTAAAAGTCTACTCTACTTGATAATTTAAATTTTAAGTATACTTTATGTAAATGCAGTGTAATTGATTCAAAAGAAAGTAGATGAGTTAGAAATTTCCCTGTCCAGTTGATAGATAATTTTGATAGCTATTTTACTTGCATGTTAAAATATGAAATTTTGTTGTTACATTTTTAATCTATATATATAAAATTCTAACGTTACTGACTGACTGATTGACTGACTGACTGATTCACTGACTGATTCATCATCGCACAGCCTAAACGGTTGAAGCTAAAGAGCTGAAATTTGGACAGGAGGTTGGTCTCCCGCCAAATAGATCCACTAAGACGGGATTTTTGGAAATTCGAATGTTTAGGGGGTAAAAAAGGGTAAAAACGGGTAAATTCGGTAACCTTATATCTCCTAAACTAGAAAAGATACAAAAACAGTTTAAAGCTTATCGCCGTTCATTTAAAAAATAAACGGACAGGTGTCTGGTACTTTTTTAAAATTCGGCCCCTTTAGGGAATAAACGGGTAAAAACTGTATTTTGGTACTTTTTTCGCACCCCATGTATCTTTTAAACCAGTGCACATTCAAAAAATATTTTTGACTCCTTCATAACTTAACGAAAAAATAAAAATATGAATTTAGTACTTTTTGGATATTCGGACGTTTAAGGGGTTAAAATTGTACCTATTTTTGGTACTTTTTTCATAAAACATTTTTTTGGTTTATTAACTTATACATATGAATACATAATAACGGGCTCCCACTTCGATGTTGCAACTTTTTGGAATAGAATTTTTATTTCGTTAATGGGGAGGAAAAAAGTACCAAAAGGGGTAAAAACGGGAAATTTGATTTTATTCAACCACAATGTTCCAATTTAGATAAAATTTTTAAATTTAGAAACACTAAATATCCTAATGGGGTGTTATTTGGAACCCCGGTATCAAGTGATATTTTTTGGTACTTTTCATTCTCCAACTGGTCCTTTTTGAGTTTTCTATGATATTGAAATAGAAACATGAAATTAATAATAAAGGGATTTTCGCTACTTTTTTGAGTTTTCTATAAAATTTAACATAGAAACATGAAATTAAGCATGTAGAGCCCTTAGTAAATGAGAATCTATAAAAGGGGACTTTTTGGTACTTTTTCGTCCTTCGACTGGTACTTTTTGAGTTTTCTATAAAATATAACCTAGAAACATGAAATTAAGCATGTAGAGCCCTTAGTAAATGAGAATCTATAAAAGGGGACTTTTTGGTACTTTTTCGTCTTTCAACTGGTACTTTTTGAGTTTTCTATAAAATTTAACCTAGAAACATGAATTTAAGCAAGTACAGCCAAGATTAAGTATTAACCTGTAAAAGGGGACTTTTCGGCACTTTTTCGTTCTTCAAAAGGTACTTTTTGAATTTTCTATAATATTGAACCTAGAAACATGAAATTAAGTACGTAGAGCCCGGAGTAAGTGAGAACATATAAAAGAGGACTTTTTGGTAATTTTTTGTTCTTCAAAAGGTACTTTTTGTGTTTTTTATAACATGAAATTAACCATGTGGAGCCTGGAGTTAATGAGAATCTATAAAAGGGGACCCTTTGGTAATTTTTCGTTCTTCAACTGGTACTTTTTTCATTTTCTATAATATTGAACTTAGGAACATGAAATTAAATAAAAGAGGTCTTTTGTTACTTTTTCGTACTTCATTGGAACTTTTTGAGTTTTCTAAAATATTGAATATATAAACATAAATTTAAATAGGGGACTTTTTGATATTGCAGATATATATACATTTACAATAATATTTATTTTATTCCATTACGATGAGGGTAGCGAAGCACACTGGGTATAGCTAGTAATAAAACATTTTTGTTATAAAATAGAAATACAAATCGAATTGTTTATTCGAATTCGAAACGGTCTCGTTAATTATATAGTCTATGGGCTAGTCTATAGTCTATAATTTATTATATTGGCAAGTTTAGTCTATAGTCTAGTCTATAGTCTAGCTATATTCTAGTTTATAGTATAGTCTAGTCTATAGACTGAACTATAGTCTAGTCTATATACTGAACTATAGTCTAGTCTATAGACTGAACTATAGTCTAGTCTATAGACTGAACTATAGTCTAGTCTATAGACTGAACTATAGTCTAGTCTATAGACTGAACTATAGTCTAGTCTATAGACTGAACTATAGTCTAGTCTATAGACTTAACTATAGTCTAGTCTATAGACTGAACTGTAGTCATATCTATAGTCTAGTCTATAGTCTAGTCTATAGTCTAGTCTATAGTCTAGTCTATAGTCTAGTCTATAGTCTAGTCTATAGTCTAGTCTATAGTCTAGTCTATAGTCTAGTCTATAGTCTAGTCTATAGTCTAGTCTATAGTCTAGTCTATAGTCTAGTCTAGTCTAGTCTATAGTCTAGTCTATAGTCTAGTCTATAGTCTAGTCTAGTCTATAGTCTAGTCTATAGTCTAGTCTAGTCTATAGTCTAGTCTAGTCTATAGTCTAGTCTATAGTCTAGTCTAGTCTATAGTCTAGTCTATAGTCTAGTCTATAGTCTAGTCTATAGTCTAGTCTATAGTCTAGTCTATAGTCTAGTCTAGTCTATAGTCTAGTCTATAGTCTAGTCTAGTCTATAGTCTAGTCTATAGTCTAGTCTAGTCTATAGTCTAGTCTATAGTCTAGTCTATAGTCTAGTCTATAGTCTAGCCTATAGTCTAGTCTATAGTCTAGTCTATAGTCTAGCCTATAGTCTAGCCTATAGTCTAGTCTATAGTCTAGTCTATAGTCTAGTCTATAGTCTAGTCTATAGTCTAGTCTATAGTCTAGTCTATAGTCTAGTCTATAGTCTAGTCTATAGTCTAGTCTATAGTCTAGTCTATAGTCTAGTCTATAGTCTAGTCTATAGCCTAGTACATAGTCTAGTCTATAGTCTAGTCTATAGTCTAGTTTATAGTCTAGTCTATAGTCTAGTCTATAGTCTAGTCTATAGTCTAGTCTATAGTCTAGTCTATAGTCTAGTCTATAGTCTAGTCTATAGTCTAGTCTATAGTCTAGTCTATAGTCTAGTCTATAGTCTAGTCTATAGTCTAGTCTATAGTCTAGTCTATAGTCTAGTCTATAGTCTAGTCTATAGTCTAGTCTATAGTCTAGTCTATAGTCTAGTCTATAGTCTAGTCTATAGTCTAGTCTATAGTCTAGTCTATAGTCTAGTCTATGTAGTCTAGTCTATAGTCGTCTATAGTCTAGTCTATGGTCTAGTCTAGTCTATAGTCTAGTCTATGGTCTAGTCTAGTCTATAGTCTAGTCTAGTTAGTCTAGTCTATAGTCTAGTCTATAGTCTAGTCTATAGTCTAGTCTATAGTCTAGTCTATAGTCTAGTCTATAGTCTAGTCTATAGTCTAGTCTATAGTCTAGTCTATAGTCTAGTCTATAGTCTAGTCTATAGTCTAGTCCTATAGTCTAGTCTATAGTCTAGTCTATAGTCTAGGTCTATAGTCTAGTCTAGTCTAGTCTATAGTCTAGTCTATAGTCTAGTCTTAGTCTATAGTCTAGTCTATAGTCTAGTCATAGTCTAGTCTATAGTCTAGTCTAGTCTAGATAGTCTAGTCTAGTATATAGTCTAGTCTATAGTCTAGTCTATAGTCTAGTCTATAGTCTAGTCTATAGTCTAGTCTATAGTCTAGTCTATAGTCTAGTCTGATAGTCTAGTCTATAGTCTAGTCTAGTCTAAGTCTAGTCTATAGTCTAGTCTATAGTCTAGTCTATAGTCTAGTCTATAGTCATAGTCTAGTCTAGTCTATAGTCTAGTCTAGTCTATAGTCTAGTCTATAGTCTAGTCTATAGTCTAGTCTATAGTCTAGTCTATAGTCCTAGTCTATAGTCTAGTCTATAGTCTAGTCTATAGTCTAGTCTATAGTCTAGTCTAGTCTATAGTCTAGTCTATAGTCTAGTCTATAGTCTAGTCTAGTCTAGTCTATAGTCTAGTCTATAGTCTAGCCTATAGTCTAGTCTATAGTATAGTCTATTGTATTGTCTATAGTCAAATCTGTAGTCTTGTCTATAATCTGGTCTATAGTCTTGTCTATAGTCTAGTCTGTAATCTAGTCTATAGTCTAGTCTATAGCCTAGTCTTTAGTCTATATTCTAGTATATAGTCTTATCTATAGTCTAGTCTATAGTCTTGCCTAGACTATAGTCCAATTTATAATCTAGATTATAGTTTAACCTGTAGACTAGTCTACAGTTAAAAGTCTACTCTACTTGATAATTTAAATTTTAAGTATACTTTATGTAAATGCAGTGTAATAAATTTACTTTTCTTGTAACTGTAAAATATGTAATTTTTTTTTTTTATTTTTAACTATTTGTCTCCATAAGTGTTTAGGCCTAATATTTTGATATACATATATCCCAAAAGGGTTGTTTTAATTAGTGTTTCTTTGTCAAATGTTTTATTAATTAAATAATAAAGTATATTCCACCATCCATTTTATGTAGGTGTAAAGTCAAATGATAATTTACACATGTACTAAACAGATAAGTATGTACATGGGCACTACATAATAAAAGTTGGTATTGTCGTTTTATTAGGAGATTATAAATACAGATGTACATGTGTTCTTCATAAAATGTTTGTTTTAAAACATGAATCAGTGTTCTCGTAGAACTTTCACGACGTATTAAGTGCTTTTTTATATTATATACTTTTGCTAAGTAGTCCATAGACTAGTCAATAGATTGGCTAATAGATATTACATATTTACTAGGCAATAAACGAATAGACTATTTTATACACTTGGATCAGTCCATAGCAGCCATAAAAAAATCAGTACCAGTGGACGTTTTTCAAAAGTACAACTAGTCAGTAGGATAGACCATAGACTACTAAATAGGTTAATCCATAAACTAGTCAATGGATTAGTGTATAGTTCAGTCAACAGACTAATCAATATACTAGTTAACAGGTAATCCATAGAATAATCCACATGCTAATACATAGACTAGTCAACAGACTAGTTCATATACAAGTCAATAAACTAGTTCATATACTAATCCATAGACTAGTCTACAGACTAGGGATTCGTTGGGTGATAATATAGTCGTGTATAATAGTCAATAGACTAAGAGACTAGTAAATAAACTTGTCAGCATATTACACATATAGAATAGTTTAAAGTCTGGTCCATATACAAGTTAATAGGCGACTTCTTTGGGTACTTATTCAAAATATCAATTTGTTTCTTTTTTGCGACACACGCAATGATGAAACGAATAAGTATACAACTTAGAGTAGCGACATTAATGTGATACTTATGCATATGTTAAAATAGGTGAAAATATTTATTTAAATATTAAGTAATCCCAAAAGGTTGATATCTACAGACAACATCCTTTGGGGTATTTAGTAATTACATTATTTTCTTACAAGCCTTTAAATGATAAATTACTATAAAAGGACACACCAAATAGCGGAAAACCTTTAGAAGTTGCTAAACATTAAACGGTTATATATAAACTTTAACGAAACGCTTATAAACGTGAATGATTTTTTAAGAGTTATTTTTCCATTAAGAATAATATTATGTTTCCCAATAAAGATGGCAAAACGGTACATTTTCCCCAGCCAGAACCGGATTTTCTATCATTGCCCAGTCAAACGGAGCGTAGTTTAAGTTTAACTTCTCAAGCTTTAAGCGATGTGCCCAGTGATTTGATCATAAGATCTCGCATAAAATATGGCAGCAGATGGTCAGCCTGTAAGGGTTTATTGGCTGAATACTCCAAGAGTACATCGGTTCATGGTTTACGTTATATATTTGAAGTTCATCGGCCATTTTATGAAAAGTTTGTTTTAGATCTCTTAAGTATTAAGTGAGCATTTTATAATGGTGTTTCCTTCTTTCTAGGCTTTATTGGATTGTATTGATGTTAATATCATTCTATTTCGCCATTTCCTTAATGTGGGATACCTATTTGAAATGGTTGGATTCACCTGTAATCTTGGGTTTTGATGAGACACTAGTGCCGGTTAATAAAATACCATTTCCCACCATAACAATTTGTCCGGAAATTAAAATGGATACCACCACATTTGACTTTACCAATGTGTCACAACAAATTTGGTCTGAAATTGAGCAAAACCATAAATTTGAAAATTTAATCAATTTAACCGAGGAAGAGTAAGTTTTGTTAAAGTATTTCTCTATAATTTAAACACGTTTTTTTTCAATAATTTAGATTACAACATTTTGCTGCCACTTTACAAATTTGTGAAAGTGATGTTATCGATCGTTTTGCCTCTCATGTACCTAAAGATATGCATGTGGATGTGGCTCAGGCTTTGGTAGAAATGGCCTTGACCCCGAATACTACGCTGCCATTTTGTAAATGGAATGGTCGCTTTTATTTTTGTGATAAATTATTTAAATATGTTATGACCGATGAAGGTGTATGTTATCAATTTAATGGTCTACAAGCTGAAGATATATACAGAGATCCTAAGTAAGTTAAGTTCATTAAAATGCTTAAGAAAACTAATTCTTGTAATTTTTTTATCATATTCTTTAGCTTTATAAGTTATTCGGATAAGACTCTTATTGACTACAACAATTACTTTGACGAGGAATTGCCTAAATTTAATAATATCTCGGGCAATTGGTCTTTAGATGATGGCTATGTGGATCAGGGTTTTAATGCTTATCCCCAGAGAACTGTATTGTCATCGGCCCGCAATGGTTTGTTTGCCTTTATGATTGGTTTTGAACATAATTTCGATTATACCTGTCGCACTTTTAAACAGGGTTATAAGGTAAATTGAAATATTAATTTAAATACAAATTGAGAGTTTAATATTCGGTTAAACTGAATCCTATGTACCTACCATCAAAGCGGATCCATATATATACTTAGGTCTTTATGGATCAAAGTATATATCAAACATTGGAACAATTGTGGATCGAATTCTACAGGATTTTAAAGAGTTTTCTTATTCCTACAAATAGACTTGACTATAGACTAGTCTAGTCTATAGTGTAGTTTATAATCTAGTGTGTAGTCTAGCCTATAATCTAGTCTGTAGTCTAGTATATAGTCTAGTCTATAGTCTAGTCTATGGTCTAGTCTATGGTCTAGTCTATAGTCTAGTCTATAGTCTAGTCTATAGTCTAGTCTATAGTCTAGTCTATAGTCTAGTCTATAGTCTAGTCTAAAGTCTAGTCTATAGTCTAGTCTATAGTCTAGTCTATAGTCTAGTCTATAGTCTAGTCTATAGTCTAGTCTATAGTCTAGTCTATAGTCTAGTCTATAGTCTAGTCTATAGTCTAGTCTATAGTCTAGTCTATACTCTAGTCTATAGTCTAGTCTATAGTCTAGTCTATAGTCTAGTCTATAGTCTAGTCTATAGTCTAGTCTATAGTCTAGTCTATAGTCTAGTCTATAGTCTAGTCTATAGTCTAGTCTATAGTCTAGTCTATAGTCTAGTCTATAGTCTAGTCTATAGTCTAGTCTATAGTCTAGTCTATAGTCTAGTCTATAGTCTAGTCTATAGTCTAGTCTATAGTCTAGTCTATAGTCTAGTCTATAGTCTAGTCTATAGTCTAGTCTATAGTCTAGTCTATAGTCTAGTCTATAGTCTAGTCTATAGTCTAGTCTATAGTCTAGTCTATAGTCCAGTCTATAGTCTAGTCTATAGTCTAGTCTATAGTCTAGTCTATAGTCTAGTCTATAGTCTAGTCTATAGTCTAGTCTATAGTCTAGTCTATAGTCTAGTCTATAGTCTAGTCTATAGTCTAGTCTATAGTCTAGTCTATAGTCTAGTCTATAGTCTAGTCTATAGTCTAGTCTATAGTCTAGTCTATAGTCTAGTCTATAGTCTAGTCTATAGTCTAGTCTATAGTCTAGTCTATAGTCTAGTCTATACTATAGTCTAGTCTATAGTCTAGTCTATAGTCTAGTCTATAGTCTAGTCTAAGTCTAGTCTACAGTCTAGTCTATAGTCTAGTCTATAGTCTAGTATATAGTCTAGTCTATAGTCTAGTCTATAGTATAGTCTACAGTCTAGTCTATAGTCTAGTCTATAGTCTACTCTATAGTCTAGTCTATAGTCTACTCTATAGTCTAGTCTATAGTCTAGTCTATAGTCTAGTCTATAGTCTAGTCTATAGTCTACTCTATAGTCTAGTCTATAGTCTAGTCTATAGTCTAGTCTATAATCTAGTCTATAGTATAGTCTATAGTCTAGTCTATAGTCTAGTCTATAGTCTAGTCTATAGTCTAGTCTATAGTCTAGTCAATAGTCTAGTCTATAGTCTAGTGTATAGTCTAGTCTATAGTCTAGTCTATAGTCTAGTCTATAGTCTAGTGTATAGTCTAGTCTATAGACTAGTCTATAGTCTAGTCTATAGTCTAGTCTGTAGTCTAGTCTATAGTTTAGGCTATAGTCTAGTCTATAGTTTAGTTTACTTTATAGTATTGTATATAATCTAGTCTATGGTCTAGTCTATAGTATAGACTATAGACTAGTATAGTATTGACTTTAACCGAGTATATTGTCTATAGTCTAGTCTATAGTGTAGGCTATAGTGTTGTCTAGAGTCTAGTCTATTTTCTAGTTTATACTCTAGTTTGTAGTTTAGTGCATAGTCTATAGTGTATACTAGTCTGGATATTATCTTTTGATGGTGGGTATAAACATATCGTCTAAGAAAGCTCTAAATGTCATTTCAATTTATTTAAGGTATTCCTAAATTCACCCGAAAGTGTACCCTTAACATCGGGAAACTATATTTTAGTACCACACGATGAAGAAGTTTTAGTATCGATTATACCACAATATGTTATATCTACAGATAATTTACATGACTTTGGTCCCGAAAAGTGAGTTTGATTTTTAAACAAAATTCTATAAATTAAGATTATTTCACAATGGTTTCCTTCTTGTTAAGGCGCCAGTGTTATTTCAATGATGAACGTTATTTGCGCTACTTCAAATCGTATTCCCAAAGTAATTGTCAAACGGAGTGTTTGGCTAATTATACAATAAATAAATGTGGCTGTGCTAAATTTTGGATGCCTAGTAAGTTTTTTTTTTCAAAAATCAGTTTCAGCTACTTTCGTTGCAGAAATTTTCATTTTTAATTACATTGCAGAACCCTTGGACACCCCGGTCTGTAGCCTGGCGCAAGTTGATTGCTATAGTCATGCTGCTGATGAAATGAATATCATAATTGCCAATCAAACTAAACAGAAACTTATCAATTCAAATGTGAAAATAATGTGTGATTGTATGCCTTCGTGCAATTCGTTGGATTATAATTTTGAAATATCACGAGCCCATTATGATTTTGAGAAAACAGTTATTGCCCAAAGAGATTCATATGAACACGATGAGTATGTTTAGCATCCCTGAAATCATTTTATATATTTAAATGTGTTTTTTTAACTTTTATTTTTTTACAGTGGTCGTGCTTCACGTTTTTCAGTTTATTTCAAAGAACCCCAATTTACCGCTATTAAACGTACCGTGATGTTTGGTGTTACTACTTTAATAGCAAATTGTGGTGGCATTTTTGGTCTTTTCATGGGCATTTCGAGTTTAAGTATTATTGAATTTATTTATTTCTTTTCGGTACGTTTGTTTAACAATTTAAGAAAGAGACATTTTATCAAGAAGAAATTGATGGAAACCGATTTGGAAGAACTTTAAGAAATAAACTTAATGTTATTGATATATTTAACAAGTGATATGATATTTTAACTTTAGAAAATAAATTGAATATAGATAATGTATTCAGAAGATTGCACACATTCGGTTAGCCCACAGTTTAAACTAATTAAAAAACCATTTGTTGTTGTTTTTTTTTAATAACTTGTTTTATCAATATAATTATTTACAAGGATGGCATTTTTTTGTTTATTTTGTTACATTCACAAAGTCTTTTTTCTTTCTTTTCTTTGTAAACAATTTTCCAAATCCTTAAACAATTCAAAGGTTAATAATTTTTGTAGGTACTTAATACAGTTTTGAATGTTTCTTTACATGAATATTTATATATGTAATTTAAGCAAATTCGTTAAGATTTTTATTTGTCAATAATAAACAATATTATTTATAATCATATATATATATATTTCTTTTATTTAAAATAGTTATTGTTAGAAAATTATTATTGTAACTTGATGAATTTAAATAACACTTAAGATATCATGTTTTTTTATTAATGCAAATTTATATTTTTCTAAATATGTATTTATGTATGTATGTATGTATGTATATGCAAATATGTATGTATTTATGTCGTTAGTAGTTTTATTTTAGAATTTAATAGAACTAAATTATCTGTAATTAAAAAATAATAAAAAGTTTTA